CCAGGCAGGAAGAGCAGCCAGGCACAGCGGGCAGACCCAAACTCAGAAGTGTGGCTGCCCAGGCACAAACCTCAGCTCCCCCTTCATTTGCTGTGTGACTGTGGGCATATTTCTTAATCCATCTGGACCTTGGCGTCATTATTTGAGGACTAGTAATAACAACAGTACCTATTTCATAGGGTCCTGTGAAGATTAAAAAGCTTATGAGGAATGAATGCAAACAGAACAATGCCTGTCCCTAGCAAGCAGCCTGCTATTAGATACAACAGAGAGCTGAGTGTATCATCCCTGAAGTTTTCATTTCAAAAATGAGTTTAACTGCTTTCTTAAAGCATAAACCAGACACACTTTAATAGTGCCCTGATATGTCAAGACCGCTGTTACAAATGTCAGTTATTATAGAATGCAGGCCTAGGGGACTACTGAGGAGGACTACAGGCCCCTCCACAAACAGCGCCACATTCGTTCCAGCACAGTGTGGCTGGGTTGGGTTTCTTGAGTTATAGATTTAGATACACATGCATACACACACATATACATATTAATAACTTGTTGGCTTATTTCCTTCCTTGGTTGTAGCTGCTATCTTATCTCCCCTTTCCCCTTTTAACTTGCTACATCTAGGAACCTAACGACCAACTCAATTCAGAATAAGGTCAAAGCAAACAGGCCCTTACAGTGTCGGGGCTGTCATGAGCTCATTTCAGTGAGCAGACTTCACAGTGCCAACTCTGAAGGGGCGGGGCTGTCTTCCAGATTTGAAGCCTTGCACATGGTACCTCTGGTTAAGTCAAGGGTGGTCCTGTCAGATTGCTCACACAGGAAGGGCTCCAGCCCTCTTTTAGCCAGGGGAGGGATAGTTTCAAAAGGCATCACATCAGTCCCTCCCCCAGTGCCAACAAGCCAGGAGGCACTTCAGGGTGCGAGGGCACAGCTGACTGCTGCAGGGGTTGAGCCCTTACCCAGGCTAGGCTGCAGGGTAAGCCAAGTAAAGATGGCAGGAGAGGGACACCTGGATGGCTCAGCAGGTTAAGCGTCCGACTTTGGCTCAGGTCATGATCTCGAAGTTTGTGAGTTCAAACCCCACATCAGGGTCTCTGCTGTCAGCACAGAGCCTGTTTCGGATCCTCTGTCTCCCTCTCTCTCTCTCTCTCTGCCCCTCCCCCCTCAGTTTTCGTTCTCTTTCTCTCTCTCTCTCTCTCTCAAAATAAGTAAATAAAATTAAAAAAAAAAAAAAAAAAAAAACAGATGGCAGCAGGAGAGCTGGTCATGAGCCGTGAGAGAGTAATGGTGGTTTTAGGGTTGTTTTAAATGTTCTCAATATGATGATCTCATATGTGCAAAAGAAGAACTAGAAGAAGTAAAAAAAAAAAAAAAAAAAAAAAGTCAGCAACACAGCAGGAACTTCAGTACTGGGGAGACCAAGACCTCCATCTATTTCCTTTAAAAACATAATGTGCTATTTCCTTTAAAAACATAACATGTCTTGGGGCGCCTGGGTGGCGCAGTCGGTTAAGCGTCCGACTTCAGCCAGGTCACGATCTCGCAGTCCGTGGGTTCGAGCCCCGCGTCAGGCTCTGGGCTGATGGCTCAGAGCCTGGAGCCTGTTTCCGATTCTGTGTCTCCCTCTCTCTCTGCCCCTCCCCCGTTCATGCTCTGTCTCTCTCTGTCCCAAAAGTAAAATAAACGTTGAAAAAAAAAATAATAAAAAATAAAAAAAAAAATAACATGTCTTTTAAGTTAACATGGTAACTCCACAATGCATGTAAATGCTGTCTACGCTACCATCAATAACACTGCCAGGTCTCAATCCTACAGAAATGCCAGCTCCTCTGCACCAACACACATACTGGATTCTACTGCCACAGGCATGAAACGATAAAAAATGAGAAGGCAACATAACTATCCTTTCAAGATAAAGGCTAAACAAGTTGTGGTACAGTCACGCAGCCACACCTGGGAATACCATGCAGCCCAGATAAAGAACGAAGGTGCCTTGTTAAATAAGCACACAGAAAAAAAGCCTGTGGTAGAATATATTTACTAGGATCCTACATGTATAGTTTTCAGATGTCTGTGTGGATGCACACGCATGCATACATGCAAATCCACTAAAAGCGTCTATAAAGGGAGACACCAACAGGAGGTGATAGTGGTTAGCCAGAGGAAGAGAAGGCTGGTACATTCTGTCTACACACTTCTGCATTGTTTGAAGTTTCACAACTGGCCCACTGGCAGCCTGGGACTATGAGGGAGACGGGACGGGACCCACCAGCGTGGGTGTGTCCTGAACAAAGTGCTGGCCCTCTGCCAGCATGGCTTTGCCCTGGGTGAAGGAGATCCCCGCCACTCACTCCCTGACAGGCTGCCTGTCCAAGGCAGCTGCACCAGGAACCACCTTCGAGGGGTACATGGGAGGAATGTGGTTAGAAACCAGGCTCTATAGCCAGAGTTTGTGTTGGGGGAGGGGACCTAAATACCCTGAATACCCTGCCCCAATAATCTCACTCATGATCAAATCCCTTGTTCTGTGGCTAAACTTCAAACTAACCCCACCCAAATTATTACAGGAAATGGCTGAGAATGCAATCTTAACTCTACCTCCACCTCCAAAAAGAGGGCCAGGTGACCAGGCATGTCTCTGGATGTCTGCAGGAGGGAGGGGCTGTACACAACACAGTGCCCCCCTTTCCAGCAAGGCCCCCAGAGCTGCTGAAATGGGCCCAGCTCATACAGCATGCAATTGGATTTTTAGCTCCCAGTGCTGCAGGGAAAACAGGGCAGAGAGACATTCTGAAAATGATTCTTTGCGGGAACAAATAGGTAGGAATGTATTCAAGGCATCTCTGCCAAGAAAGACTGAGTGGCCATTACTGCTGGGGACCCGCCAAGCCCCACCACTCCAGACAACAAGCAGGAATCTCCTGGCTGGCTCAGGTGGAGATCTGCCCTCAGAAGGCCAGAGGCCTTTCCTTCTCAAAGTCCTTGAATGTTCACATCAAAGCCCTTCGGCCTCCAAGAAAACATGTTCCTGGTCTTGCTACTCCCCAAGGCAAGACTTAGCAAATTCCCAGATCTGGGCTGGAAATTCTGATTAGCTAAATAATAAGTGCCTTAGGGGGAAAAAAAAAAAAAGCAGCTTGGGTTGCAAAAATGTGAGTGTCTTTGTTTGATCACGTGTTTGCTTAACATCAACAATTACTTAAATGTGACAGGGTAATCAGTCCTCAGGACACTGCCACACAACTAAGCAGGCCAGGCAGCTCTGGGAGATCGCAGCAGTCAGGGAAGTCCAGGTCTCCCCAGGGTCAAGGCTGAGGCTTGTACTTCCCAAAGGGTTCTCAAACACACAGCCTCATTTCCCACAGACCTTCCAAGTGGTCAGGCGAGACATGACCAAGCTGCAGGGAGGTCTGGGGACCCGTCCTTGGTCACAGAGCTAGACAGAGCAAGTTGTGAACTGCCTTCTTGGCTAAAGTGATTTTGATATTCACCCTCTGCCATGAAATTGCTGCAGGTGGGTGGGTTGGGGGGTGAGGGGTTGCTCCTAGTGGAGTAGAGGGCCTGGCATGACCTGAACCATTGTCGGCAGAGACCCCCCAGAAAGCTGCTGGAAGCACACAAACCAAACCACAGCTATCTCAGAACCGGGGGCTGCTGCTCAGGTCTTCCCAGGGTAGCCTGGCCCCTTGGTCACCCACTGTGGTCTGTGGGCTACCCTTGTCTCCTCTATGAACACCAGTTAATTATGTTCTGCACACTTGGGGGCAGGCTGGAAATGGGCTCCCTAGTCATGCCCTCCACCAGAAGCTGAACCAGACTCCCTCCAGAGGTGAGTTCTTGGTTCATAATCAGATTCACCTGGGGCACCACTTAAACTGTAGTGTTTGGCTGAAGGTCAGTATTTGGGACCTGGAAATCTACATCTCCTCCAGAGGTAGGGCCTCATGTTTCTGCACACAGGGACGGCAAGCCCCGTTCCCTGCTCTTAGACACAGCACACTACAGTCAGAGTGTTGGTTCCATCCTCTTCTGCTTGCTTCGGGTTTCAGAGCACCCCCAGAGAGGCTGGGTTCCACCCCACTGAGGGAGACCCGAGTTCTCATTGCCTCGGAGCAATCATCTAGCCAAGGGGCCCACTCAGGAACACTACAGCCTGGATCAGGGGGCAAGCAAACCCAGACGCTATCCTCCAGCTAAGGCCCCCATCCAAGCCTGCCCGGTCCGTGACAGCGAGCCCCGGCCCTCAACCAGCCCCTCCACAATTCTCGAACCCGACTAGCCGAGTGGAAAGCCACCGTGAAACAGGATGCAGAGAGTCTCCTATCCTTAAATTACCTGCCCAGTACTGGCCTCGCCCCCGCAAGGAGGTCCTCGAGCCACGCCCCATGCACTGCCCCCGCCCCCGTAATCTGGGTGCTACAGGATCTGAACGTAGTTTGGCCCCTCCTCCACGGCCACACCCACCCTGGCAGTAAGGTTCCCAGTCTGAACCAACACCCCTACACTAACCCCACCCCCTATCTCGGTCCACACACCCTAAATTCCGACTGAGAATGAGTAGAATGGCCCCGCCTTCACCCTCGACCCCACCACCGCCCGAGCTATCTGGGGCCACAGCAAGGGACCAAAACCGCGGGGGCAGCTTCTGAGGTAAAGGTTTGTCTGAGATCCGCTGGCCTTGACACCTGCAGACCTGGAGACAGCTCAGTTCCAAATTTACCAGGAGACGGGGGTCCTTCAGCTCCAGGGTCTTCAGGACTGCAGTTTTTAGCTAGCTTCCGAACTACTGTACAAATGTGAAGTCTAAATCTTTGGTAACAAGGTAACAGTATATTTATACGGGTTTTTTAACCTGCTCCAAATGCGAAAGAATTAAGTGTACCAGAAGACTTAACGTGAGCCCAGAGGAAATACACAATTCTTTAAGCCAAACTGAAAGAGAAAGGTTACCATCCCTTAAAACATTGTCCCCACCTTTGTGTTTAAAAAAAGAAAAACTACGAGGTCCCTGGTCCGCTGAGGCCGCCCGTCCCGGTACTGGTGCCGCCCGCACGCATCCGGCACCCGGCAGGTGAGAGCAGGGCCGGGAAGAGGGAGGCGCACACGGCCGGCAGTGAACAGGGCGCTCCTTTCTGGAGAAAGCGCCCCCAGGCCGAGGAGCCCCCTCGGGTCGGGCGCGCCCCCGCCGGCCGGATGGGCGGGGCTCCCACAAAGAGCCTCCGGCGGGGAACCGGGGCCGCCACCCGCGTCAGCCGCCGCTGGCTCTGGTTTGGACAAATTAAACCTTAGAGCGCTGGAAAAATTACAGGAAGAGGAGAGTGAAGAATGTGCCGAGTGGCTGGAGGGAGCCCTGTCCCCGCGTGAACTTCGCCCGCCGCTCGCCCGGGCCGGGCCGGGCGGGTCCCTCCCATCCCGAGCGCGCGCCCGACCGGCGAGGGAGGGGCCGGCAGGGGAGGGGCCGGGCGAGGACACCCCGCCTCCCCCGCGGCCCCGGGGCGCCCCCACCGCCTGTCTCCCAGAGCAGCACGCGCGGCCCCCACCCAGCTCGCCCGCACCTGCTCGCGCCGCCCCCCGGCCTCGGCGGGGTCTACGCCCG